CGTCCCCCCCCCCTCCCATCGCCCTTCCTGCCCTGCCACTAAGTCTAACTTATAATTCCCTAATCCCCTACACACTGATTTCAGTGCCCCAGCCCTATAGAGGCTCCTAATGTTCCAAGTACCAAATCTCATGTCCTTTTTCAATTGCCGTGGTCGTGCCAAAGAGTCCGTCCTGATCCGAGGCTTGGTTGATTTTTTCGTAACACATATTTTTTTAAAGGTGAAAGGTTGTTAGCCCTACACCCAACCCCCAACCTGGAGGACCATGGATATCAGAAACAAAGGCAAGGAGAAAGTTTCTCCATACAAATAACACTAATTTTACTTTGGAACCTAACCTTCGAAATTCAGAACATTTCTGATATCATTCAACATCGCAAATTACTGCTAGTCTGGTAGGAAATGTGCTGCTCTCTGCTTGAGTGGGTACTGCACAACTCAAGGTCATATCTCACCCCAAGGAACTAGCTGCATTTCTTTCAAATCTGAGGAGTCACTACTAGTCCTAACATTAGTAAAATTCAATTCACCTCTCAATGTTACACAATCCATAACTATACCTTCAATCCATATGGAATTTCAGACAAATATACAATACCCGCTGGAGTAATAGCAACAGTACACATCTGCTTCCTCCATCGGAACCCTGATCAGTTCCCCAACCCCGAGAAGTTCGACCCGGACAACTTCCTGCCGGAGAGGACAGCAAAGAGACACCCCTACGCCTACATCCCCTTCAGCGCAGGCCCCAGGAACTGCATAGGGCAGAAGTTCGCCCTGCTCGAGGAGAAGACGGTGCTCTCCTACCTCCTGCGTCACTACAAACTGCGTTCCCTTGACAAGAGAGAGGACGTCAGTTTGACGGTGGAACTAATTTTAAAACCAGAAAATGGTCTCAAAGTCGTCATCTCACCAAGGGACTCACTTTAAAAATAAACTACGGCCTTAGTATGTTAACACTTGTGACCACTCCTGCGTCACTACAAACTGCGTTCCCTTGACAAGAGAGAGGACGTCAGTTTGACGGTGGAACTAATTTTAAAACCAGAAAATGGTCTCAAAGTCGTCATCTCACCAAGGGACTCACTTTAAAAATAAACTACGGCCTTAGTATGTTAACACTTGTGACCATCTAGGTACAGTGGCCACCGATTGTTTCTCAAAAGATTTTATGTAGTAACAAACTCATATAACCTGCCTCACATCACATTAAATCGTGTATTGTTATGTAGTAGTATGTGTGCGTGCGTACACACAGATATATTCACATTACAGCACCTATTCTTTGTACTCATATTTCTTTATATAATTCTTTTGTAACAGAAAAACTTACATTAAGAACACAATTGTCTATTCTAATTAACATTGTGTGTTTCAAATATGAGTTACCACCTACTGTTGTCAAATTGGACAAACATCTAATTCTCAAGGAGGGAATACAAGATAAGGATTTTGTAAAAGAACATGACACAGATGGTATTACTTAAGCCATAATTATAAATCTGAGGTACAGCAGCAAAAAATTGAGGTTATGTGTATTTATGCTGCAGTTTTGTTCCTAATGGCAGTACTTTGTAGCTTGCTGTCTTATTTCCTATGCCAGGAACGTCTTTGGTCTACATTTGTTTTCCTCAAACCAAGAAAATGGAGACATGGGTAAAATAAACAATTTGGTTCCAGATACAACAAAACTAAAAAAGTTCTCAAAATGGTTATCAGTGCCATTAATAAGGATTACATTAATATCTGATGTAATTAACCCTCAAGCGATAGCATCCATTTAAACTGTGTCCTGATCTATACCAAGTACGGGGGCCAATGTCATGTAATAAAACTGTGGTCCATACCATATATGGAGGCTGGTAATCAAGGCTTAAGCAGAAACCAATAATTATATGAAACAGCTAACAAGAAAACTTAAAGAGGGAAAAAACTGTATATTACGACTCTCATTTTTTCTATAAACAATATGCAACCTGCTACATTATTATAATACTGAAAGGTTGCTTGAAACAAGTTCACAGAAAATTATCTTCCAACATGTAAGATAAAAGATAGAAAGAAAAAAAATTTCTTAAATTAACAATAAATTAAAAAAAATTAATAAATTATTGCTGAATTTCAATGGACAATTCACAAACACTTCAACTCATTACATTCTATCTCAGATGAGAACAGAGGACTGAAATACCCATATTATGGGGCCGGCTTGACTTCCACCTTTGGAGTTAACAATTTAATGATGGAGAGCCAGTTGGACAGCTGACACAGGTAACACTTTGTGTTATGCATAAAAATAAAACCTTTCGTTCGGGGGACTTTGATGTTTTGTTTGCAAACAGTGCACAAATAGCTTGTGGCATGACATTAACACAAAAGATATGATAGTAAATTGTTATGAGCTTCACACAGATTAGACCGATTTGATCCACACCCTATGTGCCCCCTAGGAACCGCCCTGCTTGAGCCAGAAAATTCCTATACACGTCCTGACACCTCATTTCTCATTTACATTTGGATGGATATGTAATGAAGCACAGTGGGCTAATGTACACACATGTGCAACTAATCTTTGCTTAAAATTATTGCTATTGATTTTGTTATTAACACCCACAGACTCCTGCCAGAATGGATACTGGCCACATACGTCTAATGGGAATCCCTACTGCTAGGATTTCCTTCACGTTGTAACCTGTAGAAATTTCATCAAATATCACATGGATAGAACTTACTCTTAGTAATAAGTTTCTGCCTTACCTAGCTTATATCGCAGTGTTGTCCAAAACCACTACTGCACATAAACACAACTGGACCAGTAATTTTTTCATGTTCCAATTGAGAACTTTTCTCGTAACTTCGTACTCTTCACTTAATTGCCGCCGCCACCACCACATAATCATGGCTGCTACAGATAATAAAACATTGTGACCACAGATAATTCAACAATCTGTGATGGGGGTGTGCTAACGCTAACGTTTTCGTGGCGGTAGGCCTTAATTTTTTCAAACTAGGGGCTATTAATATTGGTGGGAAATTATTCCATCAGGCAACTTGTTCTTTGTTAAAAGGTTTCTAGCTGAATGGCTTTCTGGGATTTGAACCGAGATATGATGGGATCGTTTGACTTGGGAGTGTGCCTCTTAAATTATACGCTACCCTAATATCTGTGCTAGTATTTGCCTTACAACTCAGGAAAATCACAGTGGCATTACGAGCATTATTTCATTTATTGAGCTGCACATAATATCCTCATGCGTTATTTGCAATGTACATTAAGAGGTTTTAAATACGTCTTGTTCGACAGTTCCCACTTTAGTGACCGGATCACAGAACCTAAATTTTGCCTCACTTCACATAAATGTAATTTTATTAACACCGCTCAAAGCACAGTTTCCAGGTAGCTCAGAATAACACAACCTTCACATAAAAGTTTTATCCAAATCCGTCCAGTGGCTCTCGAATTGAATCGATTGGGCGGACACAAGCCCATCTTGCGTTCTCACTATACACTTCGTGCAAAAAGAACATAATAATAGTTGTTTACACCGACTCAATAACAAACATACGTAACTACAGACTTACCGTGTCAAGCATTTGGAAAATATTTACTAGGCCTAAAGGGTTATTTAAATATGATAGTTATCTGATGTCATAAGCCTTATTATTATACTCAGGTTCATATTTGTCTACATCCACATAGCTTATCTCTACATTTTATTGAAAATGACCCACCTATTGCAACAACCATTCCTAAACATTACAGTTACACATAAATACAGTTTAACCATACAAGAAAAATAGCCTGATACAAGGTATGGAAATTACTGCTTGAAGGACATTTGCTTTATGTTTTTAGAAAAGTAGCTCCATTAACTCTACATGACAACACTTTTTATTCCAGATAAGATAATTCACGTGGAACAATGATAAAATTCTTGTACAAAGTATAAAAGAGGGTAACAGTAAATTTAAAATTAATAAAATTGTTACGCAGAAGAAAATGGCATAAAAACAGTGGGTAAAATTATGAAAACAAAAAGCAACATATTTCAGCATATTACTTTTCTAAATTCAATATATTCTACTCAGTAAAATGTATTTCGATGGCAATGCCAAAAACCAAACTGGCTTGCTGCAAGATTCCTCTGAATGTGGAGACAGTATGTTTCTCTGAAATGCTAGAGTCTACCCAAGAGTCTACATGGCATCAAAATCCAGATCCTCACCACTGTGAGAACCTAAAATCTCATAACACACAGCCTATTCAATTACATTAGGTGGGAGACAAATCACATATCAGTTTGCTCGTATTTACAAACCAAAGAGGATGACTACAGGGTTTTAAAAACAATCTGACAGATTAAAGAGTTGTAAATACTTTTCTGCAACAGCAATCTCTAGAAAATGTAAGCCAGGTGTAACTTAAGCTCCACAAAAAGAATGACCCAGAAATGTTGTCATGAAAAGTACTGTATTGTGAGGCACTGTCAAATAAAACAAGCAAACTTTGGCTTCACCAAACTAATCCAGTTTGTACTCTATAAGATTTGAGGTTTTCACGGCAGTGAGTCTCAAGATGTCTGTCTTCTGGGTTGTTGCGCCATGTAATCTGGTAGAAGTTTACCGAAGTTTATGAGGTCCTTGTTGCCTCCATCATCGGGGCCACTAAAACGTCGGTAAACTTCTACCAGACAACCTACTTTGTACTCATTTGTCAAGACAGAGGAATCATTGCTGCCAACATTTTGCACTGCCACAATTAAGGTAAATACACTGATAAACCCAAAATATAAACCAATTCCCAAACAATATCTTACTTATTTATCGATAAAGAAGAATATAATGTGATTCTTAAAACTATGAAAGATTTATGTACAGCTGTGATTCATCATGTGTGAAAAAGTTGATGCATCTGGAAATACTGCATATATTTACACATAAAAGAATTAATACACGAACACAATCTCTCAACTTTCAGGTAATAAAATGTGCGCTTCTTCATGCCAGAAGTTCTATAAAGCATAGTTCCATGGCCATACCAATAAATTCATTTCTCTACAATAATCAACTCTAGAAACATCATCATAATCTTACACAGATGTCACAAATTTAAAAAAAATGTTTGCTTTCAAAAAACCTGTCATATATTTACACATAAAAGAATTAATACACGAACACAATCTCTCAACTTTCAGGTAATAAAATGTGCGCTTCTTCATGCCAGAAGTTCTATAAAGCATAGTTCCATGGCCATACCAATAAATTCATTTCTCTACAATAATCAACTCTAGAAACATCATCATAATCTTACACAGATGTCACAAATTTAAAAAAAATGTTTGCTTTCAAAAAACCTGTGACCTTCAAATAGTAAGAAGTTCCTTACTCTAAATATTATCTAATTGCCAAATTATATGTTCGCCTTGTACAAACTTGACTGTGCAACACATATCAACTGCGATTCTTAAGGTCGGTGACAGTGGGCTATTATCATCATAGAAGTATTTTCTTTGGACACCGCACAGAGCCTAGAGAAAATAGGGGATGACACATCAGAGGCTGGCTCTGTCTGTCTCAGTCTTCAAATAGGAAGTAAGGGTTCCTACCATGTGGGGACCACTTAATAAAACTAGCCCATATCATTACGAAGAATGCACTAATGCATTCCGACATTCATTTCGTAAGTACGAGAAACAAAATGTGTGATCAGAACACACTACAGTGAGAAGTTTTATTCAAGGCTGAGGATCTGCAGACTGCAATGCAGCACACCATGAAGGTGTACACGGGGAGTTGAGGTAAAGCACCGCACATTCATGACCTCGGCAGCCTACAGAGCGATCAGCTGATTTACTGCTGGCGAGAGATAACAGAATGGGCTGTCAGGCTCAATGGTGAGTAGGAATAGAAGCAAAATGAGAAATATGTGACCCACGTTATTTAAAACGAGAAAAAGTTGTCAATGTCCAAACAGTATCTTGAAATATGAGTCAATCAAACTTCTGAAAAGTGTGCCACTTAAATTCTTAAACTTCTTAGACCAGAAGCTAAATGCAACTCTCGACTTCCTCTCCCATACGCCATATGACAAATGGATGGAAACAAATTCCCGCATGCCCCAAGCAACATTTTCATACCTGACCTGTCTTTCTACTGCCTTCTTTGCTTGGCAAGTGACGGTATCGATGTCTAAAGTGGGAGTATCATAGCACAGAACTGTGTTTATTCTCATTAAGCCAAGAAACAAAGTTCCAGATTTATATTCAATATTCAAGAGGTGCTTCAGTTAAATATTAACAAGATTACAGATTGTGTCGATGGAGGATTTTTCTGACTTTCAAACGCCTCTCCATACCATTCATGATTATGTACATATTGTAACACTTTATACACGCTGCAGTTGTGTAACCCTGAGGACTTTTAAAGATAAAGTGACGTAGCTGATGACTGGCAGAGTCTATTTAGACAATTATTTGGACTCCAAGCAATGGGGGATGTGACAAGTCCTGGTGTTCGTCACCTACACAGTTCTGACTTTGTCAGAGGTGTCGGACAGCAAAGGAACGTGCAAGAATCTCATACGAATCTACCCAAACAAGAACCCGAGGCTTTCAACATGAGAGCAAGGGCCTTTTCTTTCAGCCCCCATGGTCAAGAACAAAATAAGACACATATATCGGCACTCCAGAGCACACAGAAATTGCAAAATGTAATCTCTCGACAGACTGATTCTCAGCTTCCTTAATAATGATGTGCCAATTATATAAATTATAGTACTGAATGAAATAAGATGTTCATGAATGGTAAAGAGGTAAAGATTTGGAAGGAGGTATTCATGTTTTAAATCAAGGCAATATGAGAGAATTTGCTCGAAAGATCCGAGAAAACCATGATAAACTTCAGGCAGTACAGACAGTAACCAAGCAGCCCCAAAATGAAGAATGGATATAACTGAAGTGATCCGTGCATAAAACTGGCATCAAAGTTGGCAAGACGTCATGACCCCTGGGCCACAATACAATGTATTTCTTGATAACCTGAGTACTCAAGACACTACGATGGAAACATACAATAAAGTCATATAAAAATCATTAATATCTATCATAATTTTCCATTTGTTACTCCTATCTTAGGCAACCTATAACTGTAATTTATATACACAGAATCACATGGTACACCATATGTAACACATACCTAATGGAAGTGTATTAACATTAGCTATATAGGATTAGCTAATCTTGGTCTTCAATACTTCAAAAAATAATGTCCAATTCTACCAACATTTAAAGTTTAATAATTTTGTGATCACTTGTTGCTGCAGAGGGTAACCATTCTGATGAGAAATGAACCAGACATACGCTTCGTTGGTTCTACATTTTTAATTCTTAGGAACATCACCAAAGTATGTGTTGAATGCAGTACATGATAGGTCCATTTCTTGAAATAGGCCGAGATGTGGAAAGAGGAAAGTGTTATTCAGTTTTTATGCTACGGCCTGGCACTTGTTGCATAGAGTATCACACTATCTTTATAAGAGAGGGGTTAAGCCCTATTTACAATAAAAAAAACCCTGCAGAGCAGGTAAATGGAGTAATGGCTTCAATGTAAAATAATAGCTTAACAAATCTGCTGAAATTCAATTCAATATTTCATTCCCCATAACACAGGCGAACACATCACTGTCAAAAAAACGAACGTCTGTAAATATTCTGAAATCTAAATTTCAATTAAATACTTCAGTACTGATAAAGAAACTGTACCAATAAATAGTTCTTTGCGCAATAAATGTATCTTTCAAAAACTGCTAGTAGCGAAACCTCCGACAGGCAACCCTTGCTCAATGACATTTTCTAGGCATCTGGCCTTTTACCTTCACTGCAGTTACACAGCCATAACAATTAATTATATTTGTTATTTCTTATGGGACAGCCTGTTTCCCTGAATGGTATTCAAACTACCGACTTTATTCTCCATTATATATTTATCTATTATTTCAGTCTATACACAAACTTAATTTTAATTTTTAAATGTTGTTGTTAAAATTAAAATTAAAATTTAGCGCTTTTCATCGTTATTACGATGTTACATTTCGGCGCTTATTATGGATAGTCATCATCTGATCACAGACGCAGACACACCACACATCACAACTCTTGAATAATGAACAACTGACCAAAAATATGCAAAACACTACGAAGATCAAAAGGAATACCTACAAAAAGAAATATGAGGATGATGCAATAGCATCGAAACATGTCGTAAAATAATAAGCGCTGAAATGTAACATCGTAATAACGATGAAAAGCGCTAAATTTTAATTTTAATTTTAACAACAACATTTAAAAATTAAAATTAAGTTTGTGTATAGACTGAAATAATAAATAAATATATACTGAATTTCAACACAAACATGACGCATCTAAACTACAAATTTATTGTCCATATTTTACCCTAACTCTTTCAGATCCACATTGCATGTTTTTATTGGCCAGTACATACTGTCACAACGCTTGAATGCCACACTGCACAAATATGCAATTCTTTAAATTCTACGAATGGTAGAACAAAACAAAGCAATTTCTTGAATGAAACAGTATTGACCCAGGATAGTGACGGAGGCAGTTAAAAGCTTCCATGAGTGAGGGTTGCCTGTATACCGCAGAAGCAACAAATCAAATTTCATTGATAACAATAAAAGATGGGCAATCTGATACAAACACCAGTCTTCATGTCATTCCACACAAAACAGTTACAAAAGACAACTATGACTCACTTTCTTACATTAATTTAGAATAATAGGTTCCACTCGTGTTTTTTGCTAGTCGTGACATGGTCCCAAGAACAGCCATGCTTACTAAGGTGGAGGGAATGGAATTCTGTGAAAGTAAACATTCACTGAAGCATACGTTCCACAAACACGGGCGATTACTTTGATGAAACACCGAAACAGCAATACAACATACAGTTTCTTTCTTTCACTCTTCACAGGCATTTCTACATATAATAAGTTGCAGCTGTCGATACACTGAACACTCGTCTCTTACTTACGTTCTGAAAACATTACATTATGCTTCACAAAAGTAAATAAAAACCACAGTTTACATCTCCAAAGTAAGCTGGGTAGCTCAGTCAGTATAGTGACTGGCTATGGGCTGGGAGATCAGGATTTGTTCCCCGATGGGGAGCGGAGTATTTTCTTCTAGCCCCTGTGTCCAGACCTGTTCTGGGGCTCACCCAGCTCCCTGTCCGATGGGCACCGAAGTCCTTTCTTGGGGGTAAAGTGTGGCCAGAGTGTGCTGCTGACCACTTGCCCCATCTTGTGCTGAGGTAGAGAACAACTAGGAGCCATATCTCCTCTCCCCTAAGTGCCAACATTGGCATATAAACAAGATAGCTTTACTTTAACACATCTCCAAAGACAGTTTGGTACATCACTTACGCAAAAATGCTTATTACCGTTCTAACATAAAAAGGGTTCTGTATTAAAAACAACTACCGTTCCCTCCACTGGCTACCACTGCATATGTAATGATCTCAAAAAGCTTCTGTCCATCTGTAACGTCATTCTGGTCATGATCCACCAATCCCGAAAATTCGCTACAACACACAGTTCCTTCCAAACTTCTCCCCGATGGTTTTCCATCGTAATCGCTGCTCTCCTTCCGGTATCCATCATTTCATCACTGCCCACTCATCCTGGAAAAGTGCAACATGGCCGACACTCAAAATTAAACCTTGAGAGAAGAACGCTGCTCATAATTCTTGAGTTCTCGGGCTCCTCACTTTTATTTACATATTTTTTGCAACGCGCAGCACAGCGAGACTCTCACAGATTGTGGCTACGCCGGCCACAGATCAAATTCCCACTGTTGTCTTTAACACAATTCTTGTAATGTTCTTGTGTATCACATTAAGCGATCAGTTGTTGAAATGTAAATATTACAGCATAGTTAAGTACAGATACACAAGTGTACGAAACGCACAGGGCGCTTCCCACACAGATACAGATATAGAAGATGAATAAAGTAAAACCACATTCTGTTTAATGCTTTCATATGTTGCATCTTTAATGTTTTCAGTTTCTGCCAACATGGCAAGAATGGAAGAATCCACTTTTGATGCTGTATGAAACTGTACGGTGAAATTCCATCTCTTCCTAATGACAGGACGATGATGATGATAACTGGTACATCTGTCTTAACACAGAATCCAAATCATGGTGGAGGCCTTATAATATGGACATTAAAAGTATTAAAACTTAATATTCCACAATTTACGAAAGTAAAATTCATGGACTTTGTTACAGAGAAAATCACCAACTTAAAGTGCACAAGTAATGCGTAAAGAGTTCTCAGGTCTTCTACGACTTGAGGCTACATGAACGATCGCTTATCTTGCTACAAGACTGTGATACACCATTAACCAGCACAGTCAAAAACAATGGTGCTCTGTCAGGTTCAGTTCTGTACGAGTATCTTTGTGACTGATAATCACTGAGAAACTTGTCTTTTCATGAGAAGAAACAAGTTAGAAGACAGACGCTATTGTGACGCGTCGCCGACGGTGCCGGGGCCTCTCGCTGGAGGGGAGGGGCCACCTGACTTCCAGGCTGCCTGGTCTGGATCTTTCAACATCTTGGGAGGGGGATATAAACAAAGTCGCATTCCTGGGTGCCGAGTGGTGAAGTAGCATCGAGAGTGTAAGCTGTAGGGCAAGGCGGCAGCAAGACCGCAAAGTGTTGAGTGTGTGGATCCCCATGTAAAAGTATTTGTCGGATCGTATTCAAGTTAACAGACTCCAAACAGCAGGGGTTGACAATATAGGGCGTAAGAACCAACCTACGTCACACTATATTTACTGAAGTGGCTGAAACCTAACCTCACAGTAAACAAGAATAATATACAACTCATGTAAATTCCAGGCAAAATAAAATGTGCGTGCAGTTAATGCTTTCATACCAGTCCCCAAAGATGCAAGAAACAGCATGTAATTATTGACAAATTGCATATCTAAATGGAATGCAAATTAAGAAAAAGAAAACATGTGTCATAACTTTAAAATTGTGTTCTCCATGCATTATATATTATAATTCTAAACCTGACAAGAGACAGACAAAATTTTATTAGTGACCTCCACAATAATATCTCCGCCATCAACCCTTAATGACATAATCAAAAAAAAAAACATAAGAATTCACATGCTTAGTACTAAATACATTATGACATGATGAAACAGTTACTGCAGTTGTAACCTTCAGATCTGAAAGAATGGCAGCGGAAAAGTTCCTTGCCTGTACCTGCAGATGGCAGTTGGGCGTAGCCAACACAAAATTACATGTAGGTCGGATACGGAGGATAAATTTTATCGACAACAGAACTTCATGCGATTTGACTCCCCTTGTGTCTGAGGGTATGTTAATAACATGAGCTTTGGTATAACAACTTGTGTTCCGATAGCTTACAATTAACTAAGAGAGTTATCTACTCAAACTTCGCAGTTTACTTCATCTGCCAAGTACACAGACATGTCATGACACGCAAACTATGGTACCATGGCTCAATTAGACACACTTTTATGAAATAATGCTACACTGAGGAAAACATCAACTGAAGTGAACATGACAATGAGATAATGGGGAAGACCAAATAAAAACATTAAATGGGAATTCCGCTGTCTACGGCAGGGGTTCTCAACCCATAGCTTGCTGATATATATCTTTTTTGCAGCCTGCAGAAATTTACTGTAACACTGTTACCCTATGTGATGAAAAATAGTTACCTGATATCAGAAATTACTAATTCAGAAGCATTTTCCATAAATTTGTTTCAATAAATCGTCATTTACAATCTTGTGGCCCTAGGTCTGCAAAAGACTGAAAATCCTTGGTATCAGGTGAAGTGGAATTGCAAGAAACATCATTCACTTGATACAAAGTATCACAGACACATCTGTGGAAGACTGTGATATGTAATCACAGGATACTCTACATCCAGTACCTTGACGATGGGCAAGCTATGTTGACGACACGCAGAACACAAATTTACCAGGTGCTAAAAGAGAACAGCCAAGTTTTAGTGTTCAAATTTCCAGTCTCATTCTTGCAAATGCATGGCAGCATACCCCAGCAAGGAGCTGCGACCAACATGACAAGACTAACGGAAGGAGGCGGCACGTCACCGGCCATGCAATCCTCTTTACATGGGGAGAGGAGGAAGGGGAAGGCGTAACCGTAGCGTTGAAGGCGGCCACTCCGGGAGGTGGGCGTGGTCTCAGTAGGCTGATGCCTCTTTGTACTCGGAACCTTCCATGGTAAAGAAGTCCTCTAGTTTCCACTGCAGGGTCTCGAAAGTTGGTCGCTTCATGGGATCCTTGTGCCAGCATTCCAGCATTATATCATACAGGGCTGTGGGGCATCCTGGAGGACATGGCATGCGGTAGCCATGCTCCACCTGGTGCAGTACTTCAGCGTTTGTCATCCCTGAAATACAAAACAAACTCCATCAGATACTTCATATTAGCTAAAACCATCAAAGTACAACAACAAAAGACTGGATGAGACTTGAGGTTCTCATCTGGTTGAGGGTAATAATGACGTTCTGGGTTGAGATGCCACGTACACTTGCAGACCTGGAAAAACATAATGTGTCCATCTTCAGGGTTGCATATTTGTATCTACCTACATGGCATCACAACCCAGAAGAACAATATCATCATAAAAGGCTGGAGTTAGCATGTATTTCACTTACCTAACATGTTTCAATTTGTACAAACCATCATCAGCGGCTTATTAACACCCACAGCAAACAACTGAAGTTTCTTTACCATCCTATACACATTACAGGCTGTTCTAAAATATTAAAAAAATATAACAATTTTTTTAAGCCCAAAGTAACAACATGTCACTCATCACTTTTAAATTATTCAGTTCTACATTCGAACAAATCGCACTTCCTCACTTAGCATTCAAATTTGCATCATTACAAATAAATACACTGGCCTGTTTTTTGTTTATAAGTGATCAGAGGTGTTCAACGCAAACAAACAAACAAATTCTCCAGTCAAGCCATAGACAAGAACTGAAAGTAGTGAAACTTGAAAAGAATAATCAATCACATTGAGGATGTGGAGGAATAATGCACATAAAATAATAGGAATCATTTTAAAGTTCACATGCGGTTAGATACAACACGGTACATACACAAATTAAAATTAAATAAAAATACATTATTATGTTTAACCTCACAAGGAAATGCCTGTTGCAATGGCTAGCTGCTGGGCAGACCTAATGCAACTTGGCTGTGTTACCGCTGAGCTAATCTTCCCTGATATTACTGCAGTTCTGCAGCATGTAGCTAAATGGCGACAGAACCTTCTATTTCATGTCGCCCGGACACAGTTCTCACCTGGGTAAGGTATACGACCATACGTGACAAGTTCCGTGAGCAAGATACCGAACGACCAGACATCGGATTTAATAGAGAACTTGCTGTAGTTGGCAGCTTCTGGAGCTGTCCACTTGATGGGGAACCGAGCTCCAACACGTGCCTCATACTCGTCCTCCTGGAATATCAAATATACAGTGTGAATGTGATTCACCTGTCATCCACAGGTGGTCAGCTATCTCGATGACCTTCAAAGGACAAAACGCAATGCAAATCCATAACTTCACAACTCATTATACTCAAAATTTGGGACTAATGAATTTCAATTCATGCTCCCTGGAAAGATAAATATAATTGTGTTGTGCTATGTATAAAAGACGAAGTTTGAAGATTTTAAAATACAATTAAACTAGACACTATTTGGTGGGGTGTCTTGCCCCTAGTTGATATGTTTGCATGCGACTACAAAGCGAAGAATATCTGATCTTATTCAATGGCCCGAGAAGACTTCATCACATTCACAGGTCAAGCAATGGACATGCTGATGCTTCAGAAGAATTTTCCATGTCTGTCTGGCTACACCGCTTTACCTTAATGAGACGAGCAAGACCAAAATCTGCTATTTTAACAATATTGCTATCTCCAACAAGCACATTGCGGGCGGCTAAGTCTCGGTGGATGTAATTCTGTGACTCCAAGTACGCCATTCCGGCAGCAATCTGTGCCGCCATGTCTATGAGTTGTGGCAATTTCAGCGTGCGCCCTTTACCTGTAAAAATACAAGTATTCTGTTAACATTCATATTAAACACTATTTTTAAGAAAAATTCTTATGATTACGGAATTTATATCCTGATAACAGGACCTGATGTTGTAAGGTGTATGTACAAACCCTGTAGGAACTCCAGTAGACTGCCATTCTTCATGAGTTCTGTGATGATGTAAATCGGTTCCTCCATGGTACACACTGCGTACAGTTGGATCAACTTCTGATGCCGCAGCTTCTTCATGATCTGTGCCTCAGCCAGGAAATCCTTGGGGTCCATTGTACCTGAGCAACATAAGTTACAGTATCACCAGTTGACAGCAGTAGATGTGGAAACCTTTGCTTTGGTTGGCTCTAAAATAAATTATTAAAATAAAGTCACTGTTTACAAAATTTCCTTGTCCAAGAAGTCTTTTTGTCACCAAAAATAATGACATAACCCCACATCAAACAGCCTTGGACAGTTGGTATTTTGTGGTGCAAGTAACTTATAATCGCTGCGCAGAACACGTGGCTCACCTGGTTTCAACGTCTTGATGGCAACAGGCGTGGTGTTGTTCCAGAGACCCTCCCACACCTCACCGAACTGCCCGTGTCCCAACTTGCGCACAAACTTGAGGGAACATCGTTCAATCTCCCATTGGTCTCGTGTGCTGTGAGACAGGCCACTTGTCATCGGCTTCTCAATCTGCACAGACAATGTCATGCTAAAACAAGCCTACCTAGACAGTTCTAGGCTTCAGAATTTGAAAATTTCAACCAAAAACAAATTACATTCAATTGGCCACATACAGCATTTGAATGAAAGGGACTTTTACTGATACAGAACTTGTAAAACAAGAAACAATTAACATGATCTAACCAACTGATTAACTACAGTGTGACCAATGGATCTAAAACCCCAGAAAATATGTAAATTGCCATACAAGTGGAAAGTTCATGTCCCCGTCCCCCCTTCTGGCAAGCCACCTGCCTCTCTCCCTTTTCTACCGGCTGCCACTTTTCACGTTACACAGTTGTCAAATGAAACAGCTGAATGACTGATACAATGTAAAACAATTCAATGTGAGCACAATCTGGTAACTCATCTTACCCTAGCAATACTGACTCTCGCTCACCAGAGATGCGGGAAGGGTGAAGGAGAGATTCCTCAAACCATAAAAATGAAAACAGCCCTCTGACCTCCAACGCAGATTTTAGATTCGTTGGTCCTGTACTAATTAACTAGCTAATGCAGATAATTTTCTTTAATGCTAATTATTTCTTTTGAGCATCATCCACTTCCTTTCTGCGATTTTTCTGTCTTGTTTTACTTTACCCATCGAAAGAAATGTAGTAAGTTAACTAATTTATAAGTCCGCAGTTAGTTTGAAGATTATGAAATTTTGCAGTCATGATCACACGCAATTAAGCATTTAAGGAAAATTTTTTTGTAAGGAGCTGTGACAAAGCAGGGTGTTCAATGCTGACATTTCAGCATGATAAATAGTTCTAATGATTACTATAACGAAAATTTACTTAAATGAAATTATTACAATATAAGATCAAAAGGTTAATGTTAAGGTGAGCGTTTCTGTTTTTACTGTATGAATAATTTCTCTTATCTACTGAATGCAACGGAAAATGCAGGAAATCTCTAAACAACAAGCAACCTGAATACCATGGGGAAAATAATCTATACTATCGCTGTCTTCTGAGCTGTAAATCCATGCAGTTTTGTAGATGTTACGATGCCTGAGAGGAATGCCTGTAACCATTTACAAGACTGGACAGAGTCACGACTCATAAAACCACAATCACGAACTGCACTGAGTAACAAAAAATTAGGTGGTGGGGAAAATACACCAAAGAACAGTTCTTACAACGGTTTGAGAGTTTGGGGATACTAGCAGAAAAAAGGCGCTGTTATGATGTGCACAAGGATCGTGAACTCAGCTTTCGGTAATAAAGTTTGTCTACGCCAAAATGCATATTTCACAGGTGTCCATTCATCTATCGTATTCCACATCCACTGCGCCATTCAAGTCTTGCGATTTTTTGTAATGTGTCAAGGAATTATGAATAACCTGTACTTTAATAAAAAAAATCAATTAACTTTGATGACTAAATCATATCTTATGACTGGATCTATATCCCCTGATAAGGCAAAACTGTAACTGAACCGTGTCCTCAGGTCACTGATAGTGATTATATCAGCATGTGCTCTGCCACGCTTAGATACAATCAATGGTATTGTGAAGGACCAAATTATCAAAATTCGGCACTTCTAACGGAAAAGTCGTTAACCACGACCAATGCGCATTTTATCACCATTAATCCTGTTACCTCGATTAAGCTTGGAAATCAGCTTATGACTTCTTCAGAAATCTGTAAATCTGATACAGAAAAGCACAGATCTTACAAAAACAAAGTATGCACCACAAACAGTGGTAGGTGAGTATCGTCGTCTCACATGTGCAAGGCTGTGATGTTGCAAGATTGCTTCCCAATACAAACAACTTCATACACAAATTCAATATCCATCCTGTCGCTCAACGGTGCTTGCCGTGTACTGACATGTTGCTAGCCACTTAACGCATGGAATAATTGAATACTGTTTTTTTTTTAAAAAAAAAACCCTAACCTTTAAGCTTTTCTGTACAAAATCTAATGTTCAGGCAGATCGTGGTTCTACATTTTTAAAAACACAGTAAAACAACCTCAAAAACTTTATGTTCATAAGAAAATTCACAGGTCACTAAAGCCACATGACAGCCGAAAGTAGGAGAAACAAAGACCGTTCTGAGTTGACGAGGGAAAGGAGAGGTAGCAGTACAACAATGATGAAGCACATCACACACAATAATGTCGACATTACAGCCACATTCACCACCAACAAATACATATATGAGACAAATACAGGCAGAATGGAGTTAAAGCTCCACGTATTCTTATCCCTTGAAACACAGATGAGTGGCCAGCTTCTTGCTTCAGACACGGCTAGGGACTAGACTGAACTTGGTGGTAAGGAGGAACACATTGCCCCTGCTGGGAATCAAACTCTGGGTTGTCCAGACTACAGTTGGCCACTAAACAAACTGATCTATACCATTTAGTGATCTTCGGATTCAACCTATGGAAAACATCATCCTGATAATCTATCAACTTACAAGCTTAATGCGTCTTTCTGACCAAGACAAAAGTAACAACCATGTTAAGTTATGAGATTTGAGGTTATCATGGCAGCAAATATGTTGGTCGGTCTTCTGGACAGTCGCACCACGTAGACTCATAGGTAGATACTAATGTTACGGAGGGACATACTGACCATCCTCTGGACTTCAGCCCTGGTTTCTACGAACAAGTCCACATGGCACTACAACCCACTACACAAACAATAATGCAATGAAGTTGCTGTCAATCCAACCAAAAAAAATACGAAGAGAAGCAACGAGTAATCTCACTACAGCAGCATCAATTTGCAACAGAACTTAACTTAGATTCTTACGTGTCACACTATTTTGAGGAAGACATCATTCTATTCTATTAGTAGCTTAACCCAGCAATGGGGCATTGCTGCCTCCTTTCGGAGGTTTCTTGGTCTCTGAAGCGTGCGTTTATGCGTAGTGAGTAACAAGCCCACTGACTGCACAATTTATACTCAATCCTGATTTGACTGCCAGAGCCATCTAGCAGTGAATCAGAAGAGACTTGGGTGAGAAATGGCCGCTGAATTTTGCTTACGAAACATCTCGTATCATGCTCGCAAGGTTCTTTTACGTGCCGTAAATCTACGACATGGGACCCCGCCGGCTTTACTTCCCCTCCGAAAGAAGTTGCGCTGCCGATTTTCATCACCCTTAAAAATCCATCGACCTCGGCCGGGATCGAACCCACAAACCTTGGGTCCAGTGGTGAGCATGCTAACAATTAGACATAGATAAAATTCATAACAGGACCCTATCCTTACCAGATTAACCCAGTCCACACTCTCTCACCCCACATTATTAAGACAAATTTTGCTATTATCCTCCCATCCATGCTTAGGTCTTCAAATACGACTCCTTCCACCAGGTACTTGCCATGACATGGACCAGATTTATAGGAAAATATGAACAATGTAGTTTTCACAAGGACACTAGCCCACACTGCTCCACCCCACACTAGACAGATCAATGGGGCCAACAACGTACAGAGAAACGCCCAATAGTAACTTTATAATTGCCATAATTACCTCCTGAAGTTTTAATAAATGAGGTGCTTTGTCACCAGACAGTTTCAAGTTCATACATCAGGCAGCGCAATTACGATAGGCAAGCGGTATACTACGAGAGGAAATACGGTAGTCTTATGGCTGTATATGTAGATGAAGGCAGTATGTTCCTCCAAAACGTCGGTACGCAGCCAAACGACTATGTGGCACAACCCAGGAGAATACCATTCACAGTCAAAATAATTTCATACGCATAGAGAATAACTCATTTTCCACTGACCAAGTTCTCATGGTCACAAATACTGATCCAAAGATGTCAGTAGCATTCAGAAAAAAACAAAAAAAAAACAAAAAAAAACAATGCAACTTGGCATGCAATCATGCCAAGACAGCCAGCTGAGATATGTCGTCATTTTACGCTGAGGCCAGGAAGGAGTTAAACAGACGCAACAACATATCAAAATATTTCTCTTTTCTGTCACATGAACATTAAAGCTAATACAGAAGACAGGACAAGGGGGGTGAGACACAGGCCTAGTTTCTGCTGTTCAAATTAAATTATTTTCTGAGAATTTACCTGCTAGTTAGGTGAGAGGTGCTTTACAAACCCGCAACAAGTACAAGATTGAGAAGAGGAAGGAGTGGGGCATGCAGCGGAGCAAGCTACGTGTCAGAGTAATATACCGTACACAACAGGACTACACTAAATCATTTACCAAAATTTCCAGTGGGGGAAGCAGTGGGAAGAAAAATTACAAACAATAATTGGTCCATTGTAACCACCCAATCAAGCACAAGTAAAAGTTTTAACCCTCTCCCACGACAAACGCTTAAAAATGCTACGTAAATTGTCATTCCCAGTTGAAGTCATAAAAAGTGCCCTTTTCTTTTCTTCTGCGTCCTAATCACATCTGACCGCGAGACGATAACTTCGTAAAGCTTCGGTGCGTCAGATCATCGCACGACACGTGAAGGCAGCGTCTGCGTGACATAGTGGATCCAGCGCACGTGTAAATTCAACATGAAAATAATGCAAAGAAATTACTTCTGGTCAAATACCTAGTTTTAAACCCATCTCAAAACAGTTGGGAGAGGGTTAAGCTTTCATGTTTGAAACCGCAACACAGACTCTACCAAGACAAAGAATGGCCAAAGAGGCGACATCTCATTTACTTTCCCGACAGAGAAGTGCAATGCCATAAAATACACGAGACCCGCTTTCTGATATAAGATAATTATAAATTGTGCAATAATTTGGCATTTGTATCCAAGTGACTTTCAAAACGACACATTCAGGAAACGGACACTTGCATCGACACAAATTAAATCTACAGTAAATACGTCTTATCACTTCAAAACTCACTCACAGCAAAACACAGAAAGTTCAAAATTCTCCTCTCATTTATAACATAATAAAACAAAGTGACGTAACCCTTCCAACGTTACAGACGAGATTCATCATCTCCCCCTACACATCTTTGGTGTGTGTGACATTTTCAGCGAGATAAATTCTGTACTGCCACCTCGTGACACTTCAATCTAACCTCGTGTAACTCGCAAGAAATTAATACGTGTGTCGTTAATAGAAATTTCAGCACAGATAGGTTAAAGGGTCACGTAATTAAACGTGATACCCTAGAATCATCACACTTCAACCCTGAACATTTAAACAATGATTTTGGAACTCACTTGGACGCATGGTTTGCGTAGATTCACGCACAGGCCATCTGCATCCTTGCTGTAATGTTCAACCAACTCCTGCAGCGTTCGGAACGTCGTGCGACGTGCGATAAAGAATCCACCTTCGTCCAGTTGTCTGATGCGATAGTGTTTCACTGTGTCTCCATCCCGAACTGCAACGGACCAAAAATTAGACATAATGACATGCCACTTTTATATACTCCGCAGTGTATTTACACATATATAACACCCTAACAAAAATTCTTCAAACGAGCTCTTAACAGTTACTTAGCTTGCTGAACCACTTAGTCTAATCATAAGCCAGCTCAATCCAATCAATATCTTCATAATATTAATTTTTATTACATATTCGGTATAGCAGGTTCAACTTAACAATATTGATTTTTATTGCATATTCGGTATAGCAGGTTCAACTTAAGCAGCAAATTGCCACAAAATCTTAAAATGAGTCATCGCGCTGAACTTTCTTACCAGAAAGGGAGTAATCGTTTCGACGGCTCTCCGAGTCTCTTATGAGGAATGCCCCATGGTCGTTTTCTGGCAACAATAACTTCTTCTCTGCCTCTATACGCTTTATCTTGCCAAAATACCATCTGCAACAAACAAGACAGTTTGTAAATTCGCATTCTCATGATTAAGCACATGACAAATTAATGTTTTAGACACAAGAAAGAGGCGACGACCACAAAAGACAAATCATATGAAATGGCGCTCACACCTCATAAGTTCGCACAATTGAAATGTCGCAATTCACCACCATCGTCAGTGGCGCGACGTTTATACCACGTTTCACGAGACGTACGTAAAGGATCCAATCATCATCATCATCAGCAGCACAGGCTGACAAACTGCCAAAACAATTTTTACCCGTCCTGTGGGAAAAGCCGTCTCCCGGAACCTGTCCGTGCGTCGTCACACACGTCTGCCACCGGGTGCACAGAAACACAGGAACCCCAACATTTCCCCTCTTCATACCAAGCGTTATTAGGAAGATAAAATCAAAAGCACGGGTTCTTTCTTCGGGGTAAATCTGCCGGGACGTGAACCTGACAACTTACCTCCGTACAGTGACGAAGTTACGAATGCGTGGAGCTAAACTTCCACGTCCCCATGCATTTTCATGGCGTGGTCGTTTAACTGAGCGCCAGGGGCAACGTTACCTTTTCCTGATTCTATGTAGGCAACACGCCAGTCGCGGTCGATCTCTGTTTGATTACAATTTCTATTTTCCAGTTGAAACAAAAAACTGTAGATGTTCTTTACATCAAGCAGTGCGAAGAAACATTACATTTTCGCGGACCCCAGGTACAGAACTTCGGACCTACAAACAATGACGTCATAACGGACGTCGTGCGTCACTTGGTGACGTCAGAGCGAGACTTACGTAACAGTTTGTATTGTGAACTCCCAGCGGAGAAGTGACAGAATGGAAACTGATGATTGGTCACTATGTTACAAGAGGCCTTATCATGCAACAGGTCTCAAATTTCTGTTGTTTCGATTCACGGCAAGGACTAGGCCTTTTTAGGGGTCTACCTGATGGACAGAAGGGGCAAAGCTGACCTCTAACCTCCACCCAATAAAAGGAAAAACAATTATTCCAAATATTCCCCTCAGACAGCGCGACAGACCAGGTTTCAAACCCGCACAAAACAAGACAAAAAATTATGGACTGCGTTGTTACAAAATTTCTGAACTATGCCACACGTTCATAGGATCTGACTTTGTTCTTTTGTCATCATTATTTCCCGGAAGTTTCAAATGCCATGTTCGCAGACCGGAAACACAAGACTGCACCAGTAATGGCACCCACCTGCTCGCTCCGCCCCTCATCAAAACCGTGCGAGTTACAATCCCCCTTCTGCGCACACTGTAAAAGTGGTGTGCCGGGTCTTGAACCGGAAGCCACCAGCCCCAGCGCAGTTTCCGCTGACTCACTGAGAGTGTGCATATGGAAGCCGGGATTATAAACAGCTCAAACCACATCTACAAATCTGGTATAAATCACATAGCACCGATCCACTACCGACCTCCATCAAGTTACAAACATTACTAACCCTCTGACGACGGCGAACGTCCAGATTTTAAGAATTCAGTCCGTACCGCGAAGAAAACACCACACTTCACCATTACGAAGATCAACTGGTTAACCCTTTGAAGCCGAAGCTCGTCTAAATATTATATTTAAGAATTCGGCCCGTACCGCGAAGAAAACACAGCGCCTCACCATTGCAAAGATCAACCGGTTAACGCTGATTAAGGAAATTATCGCTGTCTCAGCGTTACATAAGAAGGTCCACTAGCTGGTACAACGGACGACCAGCCCATCACGTCGTGTGCCCCGTCGACTGAGTGTCTGAGGAACAACACGTGAACAGCTTCACGCATTATTCCTTGCTGCACACAATTCTATCGCCAACTGAGAACAGGGTGTTCACCAATGACGTATTTAACCCTCCGAAGCTGAACTTCGTCTAAATAACAATTCCGCAACTCACCGCGAGCTTAGCTAACTCTCTGGATTCGTCGTTCCATGCTGATGAATCAGAAAAGAATCGATCAGCGTTGCACGTGACCAGTGGGAAGCATACTTCCCGCTGCCATTAAAAAAAACAATCTCAAGATACAGATAAAAAAGATACCAGCGAAACTTCCACCACCTTCAGTTTTTTTAACCCTGGGAAACACTTCCCACAGGATCCATTACACGGTTATCTGACCTCCGCAGTTCACACATTATTATTATTATTATTATTTAGTGTTCTGTCTGACGACAGGTCCAGATGAACAGGATCCTTCCATCCTTTTCTCGGACTGGGACCTGTTCATATACGTTCTTGGCAGATGATCCAGAAGTGGTTTGCCATTGCCTTCTTCTGTGTGTGAATGGAGTAATTGTTGGGATGCCACGGAGGAAAACTCCGTGTTGCCTAGACCACGGCCTTGCCCAACACAAGTTATAAATTCGGGCACCGCCGGGAATCGAACCCGAGACCCCAGGATTACAAGGCCAGCGTTCTAACCGCTACACCACCGTGGCGGTCAGTTCACACATACAACAATCTAAATTACTAGTGAATTTGCAGGGGAAAAGAAAAGAAAAGGAAAATCACCTAGGTGCCAGATGAGCCAAGACTCTTGAAAGAATCAAGCTCTCTCTGTCGGACAAATCCGTATTCCTCATTTTCATGTGGTTTGACTTACGCCACTTTTATTCTCACTCTCTTCGGGAATGACGCACTGATGCCAACGTTCGACGTACAAAGGAACTGATGATGAATCGAAGTTATTTTAAACTTTACAATACCGTATCAAAGATTTTACATTTTTTCACGAACACAAACTGATTTTCTGATGTGTTTGAAATGCGTTCAGACCGGACGGTTTAAGGGCTCTTTTCTTGCCATATAAAACCAGCGTGTGACAAATTCAACCTTTTAACGAAATTAAAACACTGCATTCCTCAGCATTCGACAACTACACGAATATTGTAAAGACCGCCACATATATTTCAGTCGTCACAATTCTGCTCGATGTAAGGACACGAAAACAATACGATTCGTGACGAAGTATGACAATGTTGCGTGCACTTTTTACACACAAAACCTCCTCTACGGTAGTACCAGAGCGTTCTCGAACACAGAAACACGAAAGTTTCTGACAACGAAGGCGTATTTTCTCCACACAAATCTTTTACTTTAACGGATTCGTCCTAAGAAAGTGGAAAACACACTACGAAAGGAACTGGCAACAGATGCACTGCCAACCCATCAACTGCACAAAACTCCACTCGTACAAGAAAGACGAGTGGGTCTATCTTATCTACACAAATCCTGATAAGTCGTAACATCTTGAATAGAGACAATGCAATCTTCACGCAATAAAAATCACGTAAACGAAAAATAAAACAACACGAAACAGGCAACAGCCAATCCCAACTGTCTAAACATCCACTGATACCAAATGCCCAGAAACCAATCAAATTTCATAAACAATTCTGACCAGAAGGCGCGATCCGCTCACTTGCACAAAAAACTATTTCTAGGACGACCACTTTAATATTATCCGACCACATATTCTTTGTCCTCCATCGCTGCCCCTTACTTTGAGTTCGATTAGTATCGAGCAAAATCAAATGTGAAAAAGTGAAAAGTCTCGCTCCATCAGGCGCTCTGATGACGCATCCCGGGCTTCAAGGTCACGCGAAAAATCCTGGCCTGTGTTCGAACCGGACTTCGCCATTGCGTCCGGGCTCTGAAGCCCGCTCCAGATACCTGGAGGAGGTAAACGGGATTTTTCTCCATCCGCTTTGGGCGCCTGGCGTACGATTTCTGAAAACCACATATCGCGCGCGACACGTGAAACTGTCGAACCCTGGGCGTCGGAGGACAGAGCAGAGTTTCACAGAGTACCCTCGGCTGGACCAGTCCACTCATCAAATTCGCGGAAAACAAACATGGCCGATCAATACCGAGCCGTTAACCGTTTGTATGTCACTGAGGTCACACAGGGTCAGGTCAAGGTCAACGGCCACAGGTCTACCAATCGACCTAGTTCTGACTGCTTCAACGTGGACTACGCCGACACCGCCCGACTGGAATCGTCCATCCGCCGCCATCCGGACGGACACCTCTTTTCGATATTCGACAACCCCCCCCCCCCTGTAACCACAGAAGCCGAGGGAATTTCACATCCATAAAGACAGCAAACAGCATACCTGCTTCGCATTCAGGGACTGTGACCTACAATTGCGTTCGAGAAATATTCGATTCGAAACTCGGCCCTATTAGTCTATCAAGATTAATGTTATCCCGATCTTCGTCAATGTATCCAGGCGAATTCTGGGTCAGTCCTTTAAACTGATTCCTTCTTAATCCTTACACAACCAATCAATGGTTATATTTTCACCTCAACAGCTCCTTAAACAGCTTAAATGAGGTTAAATAACATGAGAATTAATTAGGATTTGAGGTTTTCACGGTGGTGAGTCTGAAGATGGCTGTCTTCTGGGTTGTAGCGCCGTGTCGTCCGATAGAAGTTTCACAACGGCCCTTGCTGCACTCATCGCCCTGATGATGGAGGACAGAAGGGACCGTTGAAACGTTGGTCAATTTCTATCAGACTAGACGGCCCAATGAGCAGAAGACAGTCTTCGGGTGACATCTAAATCCTCCCTCCGACTTCTAACTCCAAACTGTCGCTTCTAGACGTACCTTAATTATGCAAGGAGGGAAAGTCTCCCACATGGCAACAACGGATCACATTTACCGCTGCTCTAAGA